GACTTGTGTGTTGTCGCCTCGCACCGGGGGTAGTGGTTGTGGTGGTTGCAGTGGTCGTGGGGGCATTCCTGTCGAGCTGCTGCTCGCCTCGCCCCTTTGGGGCCTGTGTCCTCTGCTGCAGCTTCTGGGGGGCGTGTTGTCTGCGGTGATGGGTTGTCGTGACAGGTTGCTGTTTTGTGGTGCTGACGCCCCCACTGCCGCACTGTCTGTAGTTGGCGGAGTCTCTGGCCGGTTGCGCCCTCCCCCTGCCCTTCGCAGCGGCTTGCTGGACGAGGGAGCTCGGGTCGTTTTCTGGTGGGGCTTCGTCCTCGCTTGGCCGGTGGTGGTTGCATTAGGTGCGGTCCCCTGGTGGGGGTAGTGGTATCACCCCCCTGGCAATGTCCCGCAGCTCGCCAACGTAGTGAGCTCGCGAGCTGCCATGGACCACCGGCATCTGGGTAATGGCGCGGGCCCCCCTGATCTTAGCGATCACCTGCGGTGCAAGCCGCAGTTGATCAATCTCTGCATCCTGCATGTGTGCGCTCATGTCAGGGAGTCTGTTCTTCCCCCAAACCACCTCGTCTCGCAGAGTTCCCCCGCGTCTGGCGCCACCATGTGTATGCCCCAGTTGCTGCTGTCCTGTTGCCAACTGAGTTTGTAAAACCCCAGGCTGAGTGTTGTGGCTCCTTTTTGGGACGGACTCGCATGAGCCACTGCATGGGTTCGCCTTTCTGCAGGTTCTGCAGCCTTTCCAGTGGGACCAGCTCAAAGGCAACCCGCTCGGACATGAACCCCGTTGCAAGCCACGTAGGGCCACTCTCCCGTACCTCGGCCCTATGTCAGCCCCCTTTGGCACAACCTCCCCTACGCAGGCCCTCAGGGTGAGGTACCGCAGGTGCAGGGTCCAGTGGGAAGCCACTCCACCATTGCGCTTGCCCCGGCTGAGTGTCTCCGCCGCCTCCTTGGCGTGTCCTCAGGGACCGTCTGCCTTTGCCAACTGAAAGTGCTCCCTGTCTGCTTCGTAGCGTGCACGTGCCTCCTTGGGCTGCTTTGGAGTCCGGTGCTGGCTCCTGGGTTGGTGTGGCTGTCCCCTGCGAGTGGGTGAGTCGCTGTGGTCCCCCCGCCATCGGTGCTGCCTGCGGTGTGCTGGCCTCCCCCCTGCTTCGGCATCGAAGGGTGCCATCCCCACCCAATGCGCAACCTCATTCCACGAAAGTCCGTCCGGTTTGTGGAGCCCCTGCGCACGGTATGCTGCACGGATTTCGGATTTGGCAGCCTTGTTGCCACAGCGCTGGTCCCTCTCTGTTTCTCGTGGTCGGCCTCTTGCCAGGCCTGCCCCCACACAAAATCCCCCGCCGCCTCGCCGTCTGCTGGTCCTGCTGATTCTTGCTGCTGCTGTGCGCAGGTGTCCTCCAGAGAGGGGCGTCGGGAAGGATGTCTGGTTGGCCCCCTGGGTGTTGCGGTGGCTGGGAACCTCCTCCGTCCTGCTGTGGGGTGGCGTGCGCTGCTGCCTCCCCCGGTGCTCTGCACCCCCATCGCCTGGGCTTTCTGTCGCCGTCCGTGGCTGCTTGCAGGTGCTGCATTCGGGTCCGGGGCGAATGTGACCTTTCGTGCGGCCTGGGTGTCTGCTTCCTGGGCCTGTGAACTTCCCCGGCATAGTTGTCCCATGGGGATGGTCTGTATTCGTGGTATGACGGGCCTAGTGTGGGGCCCTGCGCTGCTGCTGGCCCCCTCCTCCTGCTCCACCCCGGTGCCTTGAATAGGTGCGGTAGTGCTCGCTGCTGCTTGGCTCGGGCCCTGCAGTGGCACTGCCCGTGGTGTGGCCGCCTTTTGGAGCATTTGCTGTTGCTGTTGGTACCAGTAGAGGGCCGCCGGTGGGAGTGTCTGGGGGTCCATGGGCAGGGGGTCCTGCGTATGCCTGATACTGTGCCGGCTGTTGCTGTGGTGGTTGTTGCGCTTGTGGCGGCCACTGCGGTTGCCCCCCGTGTGCCCCCATCTGCTGGTGCTGCTGCGCCGGCCCCATGGCTAGTTGTGCCATCGGTGGTTGTGGTTGTTGGTGTGCCCCCGCCCCTGCTTGTTGATGCGTCGGCGGCCTCTGAACTGGGCAGGTGGGCCTGTGTGCTGCTTGGCTCTCCCCCCTGGCTGTCCGCCTGCTGCTGTCTCTTCCTCGCTCGATACATGCCAGGGGTCGTACTCAGGCACGTACGGTGCCGTGTACCGGGTTTCGTGCAATGCCCATTGGCTCCCACTGCTCGGGGTTTGCCGTTGTGGCCCCCCGTACATCGGCTGTTGTTGGCTGTGTGGCTGTGGCTGCACACTGTGACTCGCCTGCACCCCTGTGCTGCATTGCGGGCTTGCTTGCTGAGGGGTATGGGTTGTGTGCGGCCCCGCCTCACTAATAGTGGGCAGAAACAGAAGCACAAGATGAAGCACCAGGGAAATGCTGAAATGTTGACTCGGTTGTGATCATGCTCGCATGAATGGAAAACGCAAGACTGAAACAACAAGTAAACTGCCACCCCATGAGTTGCAAACACAGTCGCACGCCTGTCGTTTTCTCGGATTCGATCTTGAGCAAACATCAGGAGCTGCAATGCCTCGCGACTACGGGGGACGGGGCGGGGGGGCTGGGGGTGCTGGGGGGGGGGCTGAGGGGGCTGGGCTGGAAAGCTGAACGGACCCGGCTGGGGCCGGGCCGGGGTCTGGGCTCTTCGACCAAGTTTAGTACTGAGAGGCGTACCCGGGCGCGACATTTCGATCACAGAGACCTCTTTTCTGTTGTGCTTTTCTTGTGCTCGACGTGGTCCGATTGTGTTTTTTTTTTGTGCTTTTCTTGTGCTCCAAAAACCAAATGGGTTTGTATGTTTGTGTTTTTTTCTTTTCTTGTGCTTTTCTTGTGCTCAAAACGATCCGGCTGTTGTGCTTTTCTTGTGCTCGAAGCGGTCCGATTGTGCTTTTTTTGTGTGCTTTTCTTGTGCTCCAAAAACCAAACGTGTTTGTATGTTTGTGTTTTTTTCTTGTGCTTTTCTTGTGCTCGAAACGATCCGGCTGTTGTGCTCTTCTTGTGCTCGACACGGTCCGATTGGTTTTTTTTGTGCTTTTCTTGTGCTCCAAAAACCAAACGTGTTTGTATGTTTGTGCTTTTTTCTTGTGCTTTTCTTGTGCTCGAAACGATCCGGCTGTTGTGCTTTTCTTGTGCTCGAAGCGGTCCGATTGTGTTTTGCTTTGAGCTTTTCTTGTGCTCCAAAAACCAAATGTGTTTGTATGGTTGTGTTTTTTTCTTGTGCTTGTCTTGTGCTCAAAACGATCCGGCTGTTGTGCTTTTCTTGTGCTTTGCCTGTACTCTTTCTGCAATCTACGCAGGCTTGGGCGCTCGCCTGCGAAAACCTGTTTGCATGTTTGTGCGTTTTTTTGTGCTGTTCTTGTGCTCGAAACGATCCGATTGGGTTTTGTTTTGTGCTTTCTTGTGCTCCAAAAACCAAACGTGTTTGTATGTTTGTGCTTTTTTCTTATGCTTTTCTTGTGCTCGAAACGATCCGGCTGTTGTGCTCTTCTTGTGCTCGACACGGTCCGATTGTGTTTTTGTTGTGTGCTTTTCTTGTGCTCCAAAAACCAAACGTGTTTGTATGTTTGTGCTTTTTTCTTGTGCTTTTCTTGTGCTCGAAACGATCCGGCTGTTGTGCTTTTCTTGTGCTCGACGCGGTCCGATGGTGGTTGTGTTTTGTGCTTTTCTTGTGCTCCAAAAACCAATCGTGTTTGTATGTTTGTGCTTTTTTTTGTGCTCCATGATTTCAAGACACATTGGCGCGCGGCAGTTCTGGTGCAAAATTGTCTCTGTCTGTTGTGCTTTTCTGGTGCTCGGAACTATCCGATTGTGGTTTTTGTTTGTGCTTTCTGGTGCTAGTTTTGCTCTGTCTCTCTGGCGGCCTGGCCAGTCCAGCCCCCGCGTCCAGGCCGTCTGAAAGAAGGTCTCCGGGCCCAGGTTGCGATGGTAACGAAGCCGTGGTTCCAAACCTCTTCGCTGTTAAGTTGCAGATAGCTCCTCCCAACCTCTTCGCCGGCCCGACCCCATCTCACAGCCCTGATCGCCAAACTATGCCAAACTTATTTGGATTCAAAACATTGCCGGGCCCTGGAAAACTGAATGAGATCAGATTTCCTTGTGCTACTTTTGGCCTGTCTGTTTGATAATAAACCTATTGTTGAACTATTAGTGGGCCGGGGCCCCATCTAAGGTATGGGCCTCCGGGGAGATCCTGGCCCGTAGGCCTACCCCACAACGGTTCGCGGCGGTCTGTCTTCAAGGCCCCTTCCGGGGATGAGCGATTCCCACGTTCCCCCAGATATGCCTGATACCCCCCCAGAACGCCGAACACATTAACCTAAGACCATGACCAAGTAAACCCATCAGGCTGTACCTGGGTCATCCGTGTCGCTCCAGTTCAACTACTGGGGTTTGTGGCTTCAGTGTTCACAACAGCCTGGCATCTCTCTCTCTCTCTCTCTCTCTCTCTTTCTCTCTCAATAGTTAGTTGCGGTTCCGCTGTTATATTCACACATACTCACACAAGAACTAACAACCGTCACACCAAGCTCACTACACTACAGTCACCGCAGTTGGGTGGCTTAAATGCGCTGAATTAGATTAGACCTCAGCTTTCTGCAAAAACTCGACGCCAGTCCTCAGCTTGTGCCGCGCTTGCCGCGGCAAACTGAGAGACTCATGACCGAGGGGTATCGAGGGGTACTGTGGTTGCGGAGGGTGCGGTGAGGTTTCTGAGCTCCGCTCTTGGCAAAGGCCTGCCTCGGTCGAACGAAGTTAGCTGCACTTGTCGCGGCAGAAGAGTGCCCCGAGGCAGCAGCACCAAATCAGCCATGTTTGGCAGCCGCCTGTGCTGCACTGACACAGGACGTGAAGGAACCCCTGAAGCGGGCAGGCTCAGCCGCTGACTGCATCTCCAGAGACGACCTCACGAAAGCAAGAAAGCTCTGTGCTCCGATTGCCAAGACTTCAAGACAACCTAGACTCCATGCCAAGTCAAACGCCAAACAAGCTGATCCCCGTGCTGGATTTCCTGCGCAGGAACGAAGCACAAGAGACCAGCGCATAACGGAATTAAACACCATGCTGTCTGCCCACAGTCTTGGACGTGTGTTGCATGGGCCGGCGGACGCTGCAGAAGAGAATCCAGTCTGCCCTTCTCCAACCGGGATTCTGATCTGGGCTCCCTACGAAGGCTCCGGTGTTGAGCAGCTGGGCTGAAACCATATTGCCAACCTCAAGCCGGCCACAAGTGCCAGCACATCATCGGACACACGTGATAATGAGGGGTCCACGAGCCAAACTCCCATGAAGGACATCATCTTGTTCCTCCAGCACGATTGCATTCTATACGGCTCCAGTCTTGGAATGCGCTGCAAGCATACGCTGGCATATGCTGCACTTCAGCTCCGCTCACGCTCTGCCGACGTGTGTGACACAACGCCCGGCCCCTGCGCTGATGTAACGATTTCCGGCTTCGGCACCTGGCATCGCTTCGCTGCAACCGACGATTACCCAGGCAGACTGGGCCTTCAGTGCTTCAAAGATCGCATCACCGAGGAAGAGCATTGCCCACAAGCTTATTTGAACAGCAAACACCGCCTGAGTGGTAACATTGAGGCAAAGAGGGCTCGCGCAAAAAACCAGCGGACTTTGGGGCACAGACGTTGGACGCGTACCTGACTTTATCGCTCGGTCATTGTAGGCAGTCAGCCCTAAAGGGAGTAGCAGCGGCCTCATTAGACATGCACAGCTGCAAACCAAGTGCTGCTTGTATATCGGAACGGGATATGGCATCCCTCTCACCTGACAAGGAGTAAAGACTTTGCCCAAGTCCAGACTTCGAGCAGATGGGCCAGAGTTCCGACGCCTCCAAATCAGTAAGAGCACGCTCCTAGCAGGATGCAAGGTAGACCTACCAAGTGGATTTGCTGCATGCTGCTGTCGAGACGGGTGCAAGGCTGCTTCACCGGTCATGCATATCTGCCAGGCTAGAAGCTGTTTTCTACCCTCCATCCACATGCTGGCCACGATTTCAAGAGCTTGAACTTGTGGCAGAGCTGTTCGAAGAGCTTGCAGGGCTCTTTGGTGCGAGCAGCTCTGCGCTTGCCAATGCTGCAGTTCTGGCCGCGGCAGGTAGTTTCATCGCCGCCTCTGCTGCTTCTTCTGGGAAATCCTTGCATGCGCCAGCGAACCAGTCGGCGCATATCTTGAGAACATCGGGAAGTGCGGTGGAATCGAAGCCGTATGCCTGCTTCAAGTGCCGAAAATCCAAGGGCAATGGTCGCTCCACACTTGGAAGAAAGCTGCGGGGCCGGTCGACTTCATCCAACAGGCCATCGGATCCGTCTGCCTGTCCCTTTGCCGGGCCCTGGCCTGGCTTGGCTGCTGCCGCTGCTGCCTTGCTGAGAAGTTCCAAGAAATCCCTCAGAGGGACCTGCAGGTCACTTCCCACATTCACCGCATCGAACGGCTTCTGAAGCGATCTGCCGACCAACGCTGCTAGGAAACGGGCCACATCTCGACTGAAAACAAATGCAAGCGGCGGATCATCGAAACTCTGAGTCGTGGCTTGGGCTTCGAGTCGTGCACGCTTGGCCGGAGATTTGCGAACTTGAGGCCGGCAGCCGTCTGCCCCTGCCCGCAACCAATGCCAGTATGCCCATAATCGAAGAGTATCGTCAAAGGGACCTATGACATCAGGCAGTCGAAGTGCAACGGCTCGCGTGCTGGAGTCGAGTCCTTCGGCCAATGCTTCCTCCGCCTCCAGCTTGCCGTCGCCATAGCTATCTGCCTTGCGCAGCTTCTTGCGAACTGTATCTTCCGCAGGCCTTTGAGCACAACTCTCGTCGACGGCCTGAGCCTGCAGCATCCATCCAGACCCTGCTGCAGAACTAACTTCATAGACGGAATCTGACGAAATGTAAGCATATGTGTCGAATCTTCCGCGCAGCCCTTCCAGAGCGCACCTCATGTCAGCACCATCGTAAGCCGAAAAATCTGCTACGAGCGTCCACTTCTCTTGCAGTCTTGTGGTAACCATATCCAGCCGCTCCGAAAAGCCTCGCCTATCTCGACGATCTGCAGTAAGCCGCGCAACACGGCCGTTAGAAGGATCCGTGGTACCCCAGTACGACCGTCCTCGATTAACAACGCACACACGGGCGGGAAGCTCCAAAAGTGTCTGCACAGTCTCTCGTCCCATAAATGTAGAGCCACCGAGGACAAGCACAGCTGGTTTGCAACCTGCGCCAACAGCATCTGGCTTTAGGACTTCCTCGTTCTCCAACTGCGTGGAGAACCGACAAGAAGACATGCTGTCCAGAAAGTAGGGCTCGCAGTTATGGCATGCTTCCAGAAAGCAACATGAGCCAATGCTGGACCCCATATACCATGTGTGCTGAATTGAAGTGTGCTGAGCGAGTGAAGTCAATGCATCACTGCAGTGTGTGATGCTGCACGCTCCTTGGAGAAATCATCAAGCACAAACTTGGTTGAAACGCCACGCTAAAGAAGCCAGCTGCTGCGAGGAGAATTGTGATCCCCGGTTTGACATGAGCGTGCAAGTCAGCACAACCCTGACATGCACGGTCCAGTCTGCGTCCTTCAGGATAGACGACACCTGCTGATAGGTGCCCTTGTAAGATCAGCTGGTACAATACCTGGTTGCCAGCGGCTGCAGCCTTAAAACAAACTTCGTGCCGGGCGCACTGGATCAACACCTGGTCCTTGCCTCGGTTGCGGCACCACGGAGTTCGGAGACGAATCGGAGAAGAACACGTCTGGCAGTCGTAGAGTTTGCGAAATGTATCCGCGATTGCTTAGATTTTCTGCTTGATATCTTGAAGGCCTGTGCCCAACTGACACCCCACTTCAACCCACCACAATTGCCGGCGCTACTGGGAATACGTAGATTCGGACACTATGGAATGGAGCTAGGTATTCGGGCGGGGATTTGGATGCTCTGTGCATGGATAAACTTCCTCAGCCGATTCAACTGTATGAGGACATGCTGGAGCTCAAGGAACAAACAAAGACACGAGACAAGAACGCATGGAAGAATTTGAATCCAGTGGCCCAGCTTTGGCAGCGCATCTTGCTTCAAGGGCGCCTGGCAAAGGCAGATGTGTACAGCGAGCGATGGCGGCTTCGTTGGATTGTCACCTAAACCTCATCCAGCTACTTGACGGTCCCGAGCATTCAGTGCAGAGTACAGGAACAAAGTGGTCCTGAGTGGACCTAACTCTAACACATACGGACACAACACACACACACACATACACTGCACCCCTGTGCCGCTTTGCACACACAGTAGGTCCTGCGCAAAGTGGGTCGCGTGATCCTTAGATTCTCGCAACTGCTTGTTGCGCAAGTTTTGCGAGGCGTCTTCAAATTTTCACCAACCCTATCGAGACGTGCAGATCTTCATCTGAACGGCTGTTGCTGCGATCTGCGTCGCATTTCCGGAAACTTCCGCGTCGATGCCTGCCAAGATGGATGCCGCGAGCAAAAGACTCATCAAATTGCCCACGCACCCTGCTAAAACATCTCCGCCGAATTCGGTCAAAGCCCACACGAAGCTTCTGACAGGACACCGATCCCATCGCTGAACACGTGCACGCGCCTAGAATTCCAAGCTCATTGGCAAAACGAAATGCCACCATGGCCTCCGCAGCCCCACAGCTGGGAATCTCGCAAATGCACGCCGCCACGCAAGCGAGGCTTCCGTTTGCTTAGTCGCAGGCAGCGAGAGCCACACCAACAAACCTCCAGCAACATCACCGTTAACTTTATCTGAAACTAAGGTTTGGACTGTGAGTCCAAATGTCCCTGCCTAAGTGTCTCCGACATCGCAGCGATGCAAACTAAGAGAATCAGCACGCGTGCTCTGTGGGGGCTGGCATTTTGTATGGAAGATGCTGACAACGCACAAAGCGAACATTGACTCGGTAAGTGACAATGCCCAACGGGCTGACTGAGCCACGCTCTCTTCGAGATCCGATCAACAGCGAGTGCAAGCACGAGACTGTGCATCCGGGAGGTCAAACTCTGCATTTTCGCCTCGCAGCCTAACTTTCTTCGCGCGGTAAGTCCTCTGTTGACCAGTTGCTCGGGATGAGCCTGCACGATGCATGCACAATGTCATCGAGGCATGTGGAGTACGACTCCAACAGTTCACTACGAGTATCACGTTACCTTCACCCAAATTGCCATTGTGTCTTTTTTTGCCGGAGAGTTGCAAAGCTTGGCGAAACGTGTTGTGCGAATTCGCACAACTTGAGCTCATAGAAACTTTGTCTAGAGCACTCACTTCTACAGATCTCCATGGTCAATCTTGGTGCGTCCACCGCGCTCGTCCATCTCGATGTCCTGGAGAAGCACCAGCCAGAAATCTCACGTTCAAACAGCCAGCAAACCAATGCACTGACTGACTGACAAGTTTGAGCTGAAGTCTGCACGTCTCCCCAGAAATTTGCATCTGAGCATCGTCGTCATCCACTTCGGCCGGGCCACCTTCAGATCACAAGCTCGAAGGACTCACAGTTAGCTTTCCCAGAGGCCCGGCTCGCACCTCACCCTTCCCGACCAACAGCCCGCATGTGTGCCCGTGCTTTCGGCACCTTGCTTCTTGATAAAGTTGTCGGTGACCCAGAACTGCAGCGCATTCATGCAAAACGGTGTGGCAATCATCGCGACCAGCAGCTTCAGATTTGGGCTGGACGCAAACCTGGAGAAAGAAGTAGCAAAGTAGCAAATGCACTTCATGTTAAGGTGTTGGGCATCTGAGGCTTCAGATTTCAGGTGAACTCAGGCAGGCACGGCGCAAGGGTCATGCGAGCCACAGCTAGGAGCAAAGTGTGGAACACCGCCATGAAAACGACCATACCCACCTTCCTCAAACGTGCTAGCATGTCAGCATCTCGGAATCGGAAGGCAGAGTTGCACTGGGTTGCGAACATTGAGCTGACGACCACGAGCCACACAGCCAGCTGCTTAATGTATTTCCTTAGCAGAAGAAGCCGCGGCGGCATGCCAGTACCAACCATCTGTACAAGTAGTAAAGGTCCGTCGCACTGGCTGCCAAGCGACGCGGCGTCAATGCCACCGTTGACCCGGTACTCGCCGGTCTTGAAATCAGGTGCCTGATTGATGGCCAGGCCCAAGCGAGCTCATACCGACAGGTGAGCGAGGAGGTTGGCAGGAAGCATACCGATTCCGCATGATTGCCACCCTGCCTGGTCCGGGACCGTTGCCAGAATTATCCTGTCAAGTAACAGAACAAGACTGACCAGAGTCTCAGTAAGAGAATCTAGTAAGCCGCTAAAGATGCTCCATGATGTCCAACAGTCGGCCTCGCGGACAGCTGTAGCAGCACGTAGGTGCAAGCCACACCGAGCGTGCAGTCCACCACAATATTGATCCAATACCTCAAACTGAAACGTCGACATCCGGATTGCTAGCTTTTCGAAGCGAGCTGGCAAAGCTCCAATGGCAAAGGGGGTTACAGTAAGCAGGGCAACACATCCTCAGCACCCAGCCAGTCACACTCATCTCCTCCAGCTTCCTCGTAGTGCTTTTCCATTTTTTGCCTTCTGAACGAGGCCGCACAAGTCTTCGCCCGCGTAGTTGCAAGCAGTTTTCGGGCATCCAAGCCACGCGAATAGCAAGTTCAAGAGGTGAATCCAAGCTGCCCCTGACATGGATTGCAGTGTCACAGCATGAGAAGCCATGAGAGTGGCAATGCATCCGGCTCAGCGCACCTATGAGCTGCTTGGATGAATCCATCAGGAACTCCG